AACCCGAAAAAAGTTCGAAGTAAGGGACATAACTCACAATCGTAAACTCTTCACCGAAAAAGTTGATTTTGTTCACTCTCGACGACCAGAGCCCAGATTGTTTACGTTCGAAACTAGCTATAACAAGGACATCCTATTGGAGATCTCTCACTCTCTGTAACAGGCAGAGTCTGCAATAAATAATGTAACACAGTCAGTTGCCGGTTGTTTTCATAGTCATTCCAGAGGTATGCGCAGTTTAAGCACGTGAACCTAGATTCATCGTAATGGCTGACGCGTCTTGCCAACTCGAACAGCGATCGCAGGTACTGAATGAGACCACAAGAAGTGTGACTATCGATGAGAGGAAGAAAACGGCCAGAAAACGATGGCAAATGCTTGCTCAGGTTTGTATACCCATGCCTTCCTCTATATATGTCCATAACATTTCTTTCAGAGAAGTTCCACAAGAAGTGTCTACTGTTCTTATTGGCCCGAAACTAAAGTTAAGCAGCCCAAGAGTAAAGTCATCGCGGACCATTGGCATTGGCCTCTTTTAATTTTTATGCCAACTTACCCTTCTAATTTGAAGTTCTATCTTGCTTACATGTTTTAAAAAGAAATTTACCTTCTATAAAATAATCCAACAAAAATGGAAAGTAAAGGCTACTCTGTTTGGGTTTAATCGAAGGAACATGCTTTTGTGAAAGACTAGATGGACTCTAGATCTAAGTCTAAGACGCATTTTAAAATCATCTCTGTATTTTGTAACTGTTCTACTGCTTTCACCAAGAGCTGCCTTAATGTTGTCTTTCAATCTCCCTATTTACTACCTGTACTTTTGTTGGACAGAAAGGTAGGTTTTGAAGTTTTAAGTTTCTGTGTATATATATATACAGTGGACCAGTGGATGGTTATTTACATCAGTCAGTACATTTTGATGATCTAGAAATAGAAACGATAATCTGTGTTTCATCTGAATAACGGCTGTAATTAGTGAAAACGGCATCCAAGATTTATCACATAATAGTATTGTTATATAGTAGTCATCACTATTATTGATACATTGACAGTATTCTATTTTGTTTTGCCGTGATTGTATTATCATTTTTATCTCAATAATGTATATGTCCTGTATTTCCAATTTCAGGTGCTGAAAGGCAGCAGCACAACAGAGCTTGCTGACAGTGCAGTTTCTGTGCGAAGATTCCAGTCGTACGGATTGCTATCTACAGAACAGAATGTGGAGGAAAACTCCAAAGAGGACAGTGATGGATCCAGCTGGTTTTCGTACTCCTGTAAAGACCTGCCAGGATTTTCTATGAAGATCAGGTGTGCTAAAAGGCTTTCCGCTTGCTTCATTTCATACATGATTGTCTCACTGACTGCTGATACTGGCACTCGTGTTGGTAGACATAGATATATTATATATGAATATATGAGAAACACGGAACGGACACCCTTGTTGGTTTCAATTTCTTCACTGTCTTTTCACTACGGTACATTAGCCTCTGCCTAAAAACCTGGTGCTTTGAGTAAGGGAAATGCAGGATTTTAGCTGAATCATCTGGGGGAACAGGTCATGGTGGCTCATGGTCAGGCAAACGATCTGTAAAATGATCTCTCCCTACTTTGAAATAAACTAACTTGACCCGGTGTAACTTGTGATGAGCAAAGGATGGTTAATATTGATGACAAATCACAATGATCTCTTCCTTATAAATTTGGTCAAATCTATAGCACAAATATTATCTAGAAGCTTAGTAGGTCAAGATGGCTAGAAGCATATATATATTTCTTGATTGAATTGAAGTTTGAGATTATAACACCTTGGGGAAAATTGAGCTGGACAGATAATAAAGATACTGAGGTTGCATAGCAGAGCATTCACCAAATCCAGTAATAAACAATGTAAGTTATGTTTATAAAATCAAAGATGTAGTAGTTGAAGTTGTCTGAGTCTGAAGTGTGATTTGTGTTCTGTGCTGTATTTTTGCTACCCATCCAGTGTTATTCAGAGCGCTGAAAGTCATTTGGACCCGAATTCTTTGTTCACATTTGTTATTTACTGTTGTATCTGTACCAGATAATCAGTTGTCATAAACTGCCTGTCAGGTAGAAATTCCATATTATTCCCCTCCAAAATTTGTTTTCCCACTGGATATTTCAGACACCTGGGTGGAGCAGTGTCAGCAGAGAGACTCAATGGCTTTAACAACACAGGGAATGTTTGTAAGTGACATGTGTGGACATACAGCATATTCCTCTCATGTTCTGTGGTCGGAATTGTCAATGGAAGGATGGAATATCGGAAACAAACTTTACTATATTACTTTTTGTGAAAGGAAAGAAAAATGTACAGTAGATTTAGTGGACTTACATTTGTGAACTGAAGAGTTTTTAACAAGCTTGGCAAAAGTTGAAATTGCACAGTGGCATGTCAAAGTTTGTTTTGTTGCTGTGATATGGTATTTTGATATTAAATTCTGTTTTTGTTATTGTTCAATTCAACTTTACTACCACTGCTTTGAGACCAACACAGCGCTAAATATGTGTGAAGCTTCATGTAATAACTGTTTGATGAGAACTTACTGCTCACTTTTTGTAATTGATAAAAGATCATGTCGTCATCTTGAGTAACAGCATGGAGTACGATGTAGATCATGCTGTGTGTTTGTGAGCACTCTTTCCTAACAGGTGAATATCATCAGAAAGTGTAGTCAACTGATGACTGTGGAAAAGAAACATTTTTATTTTGGTTTGAGATGCAGTTGAAAAGGTTGTTTGGACGTTTTATTTCATTTACTTTTAAAGACGACTGATTCAACGTGAAATTAGGAACACAATGCTAGGGCTGACAGATCAGATGACATTTTATTGGAACTCGGTTAAAACCGGAAGTTGTTACAACAATTGTGCGAGGGTCTGATTAGACTGAGCGATTGTCTTCATGACGCATCGCACTTTACGTACTGAACTTCTCCTCAAACATAATAAATCCTCAACAATACATAGAGAAAATATACGTAACTGGGTCCTGTCTTCTCATCAGGAATTAACCACAGAAGTCTGTGTTTATGTTATTTTTTTGTGTTCTTGCAGTCCTTTAAATCCTTTTTTGTGCATATAATATAGGTTTTGAAATGTGTCAAACGTTTATTTTTGTTTATGCTTTTTTAAATTTGGAGTTGAATATTTTTGTGCAGTACCTTGGGGAAAACAGTTTACACAGAGATGGGTAAATGCAGGACAATTTTTTTTGCCAACTCGACATCTTGGTACTGTGTATTTCTTTTGTTTTGGCTGCTGAAATTGAAATCGCAGTAAAAGGTTCAAGTATGCAAATGTCGGAATCAAGGATATTTAAAAAAGGAACAAATATAATCAGTTCTGATGAAACAAGAAAAGTTCTAAGAGTAAGATGTTGTGTTTGTTTTGCATGAGCAAAATTAAAATTGTCGAAGTAAAAAAAAAATGCTTAGAATGAAGTCTTACTAAGAATACTGAGACCATATTTAGCTCATGCATCTTACTTTCTTTGCATATAATTTCTAGTAATGAACAAAAGTATGATTCTATTTATTAGGATGAAATGTGTCTTAATCACTGCACGTCTAACAAAAGAAAAAGGGAATCCGTTGCATGTTTGATGGACATAATTTTATTATTTAGGAATCTTTTCACTGGTGTAACAAAGGAAATGGTTTAGAAAGATGTATGTTTGTATGTTCATGAATCTTTTCACTAATGTGAGACTTGTTTATTTTCCCAGGTGTATGGCCATCTGAAGAGGTCATGACCTTTTATTGCATGCAGCATGTTGGAGATTTCAAGTTAGTGTGGAAATAAAATCACCAACGTTTGAGCTGTGTTTTTTTGGTGAAAATGGTCTTGTGCATGAAAGTAACATATTTTGTTTTCCAACTTTTGCTCATGTTCAAATTAACATTCTTTACTTTACACTAATTGAGATTAATGTTTTATGCTTAGAAGGTGCAGGATGTTTGCCACCCTAGGATGTGTAATTCAAAAAGTTGATAAAACAGAACAAGACTTTAAGTTTGCGGATCATACTTTTGAAATACTTCTGTAATTAGTTCACTGTTTCACTAGAAGAATGGTCTTATATGCTATATATATGTAGGCTCTACTCGTAGCCCCAGTTAACAGTTCCCTATAAATATACATTTATTTCTGAGTAAAAAAAGACTGGATGAATTTCTGTGAATGTCATCAGGATTTTATTGGGTTTTTTTTCTGTGATCTATGATCTCTTTCAAGTTATGCAGGATAGTTTTGTGGTTTGTGTGAGAGAGAAAAACTGACACAAAAAGAATGTAATGTTCTCTGATGTTATATCATATATTCAACATTCGTGCAATCTCCACAGAAGTCAACAAATCTGTGAACTTGGCGGAGGCATGACTTGTCTAGCTGGTATTGCTGTAAGAACATTTTGCTGTCTTTATCAAGTATATTAGTACTTTCTTATTTACCCCCCCCCCCCCCAAAAAAAACCCCCCAACAAAACAACCCAAACCAAAAGAAAAAAAAATCTTTTTCTTCTCACGCACAATTAAAACCGCTGTTGTTTTTGTTATTTTGCTTAATAAAATCCACTTAAATATGAGCGTTTTTGTTGTGAATATATGGCGTTTTGATTGTATGAAAAAATGTTTTTACTTTCTAATGTTATGTTATTTATAACTCCCATCTGTCCCTTCGTCTTTGTTTTTAAGAAAAACCAACTTTTTATTACTGTTTATTTTTTGTTGCTATAAACCGTAACTAATTGCAATGTATGTGAATGAATTGTAAACGTAATGTGTGCTTACATACTAAAAGTATATATATATACATTTGTGTTCTGTCTGTGGCGTGCAGTTGGGGATTTCCTCAGAGGCCCAGCACATTGTGGTATCTGATGGCAACGAGGAGTCAGTGGACAGTGAGTTCTCTCTGGGGTTTTTGTTATACTTATATATTTCTTTGTATTTAAAACATGTACACAGTGAAATTCATATTGTATAATGTAATGAAAAGATTCCCTTGTCCCGCTGATTTCGCTATGTTTGTGCTAGATTGTATGACACTGCTTGTCTGTCACTACACTTCGTACCAATATCTGTCCCCAGGGTTTTATGCACCCCGCATAATTTTGCAAATTTTGATCTTTTTTTTTATCATAGCCCCTGCTATGTTTGTACTAGACTCTATATGACACTGCATGTCTATCACTATGCTACATAATGCTATCTGGCACAAATTGTCATCTCATTAAGGTTAATTTTGTTTTCTGGGAAATGGAAGTCAGTATTGTCCTCGTCAGATTTATTATAAATGTTGTGAACTTTAGTCGAGTGAACAGAGATGTTTTCAAACCTTGCTTCACTGAAATTTTTTTTCACTTAGGTCAATTCAAATTGAATTCTTAAATTTTGATTTTATTTCATTTTCAGATCTGGAGCAGATTATTGAGAGGAATGATTTTGGAGTTACGTCAGTTTCTGCAAGGTATGCCTTTTCAAAACTTTTTCGTAAAATGATATGAAATGTTAGACATTGTGGTATTTTGGTTTTTTATTGTACTGAAAAACTGGCCAGGAAAACGGAACTCTACCTACACCTTATAGTCTTCAGTAATGTGTTTTATCTAGTTATGATGTTTTATCTTCATGTGCCGCCGATCATTTTGTTGATCAAACTCACAGACCATAACAGTTTTTTCAGATTCAAGTCTGAATTTTTTCTTCACAGATTTTCAAGAAAGTTCTGTGGACATACTCTCTTTAGACTGTCTATGAACTATACTCTGAGGCTATGTGCATTTGCTTCTCGGCACTAAATATTACTTTTCGTCGACCTTTTTTATTTGATTAAAAACTAAATTCTGCAAGATATGCTGAAAAATATCACACATCAATTAAAATGCCTTTGCCAACGAATCGATCGGAATGACTACTTGTCCTTCTCCCCTCTTCCATCTGGAGTAAATGAGGCAGCAATCAGAAGGTTTTTCTCAACCATCTGATCATTTTTTTTCTTTTTTGTGTTTTAACCTTTTCAGACTTCTTCGATGGGGAGCTACGAAGATGGATGAGAGTTTAAGGTCACGGTTTGACACAGTGATTTGTGCTGATTGGTAAGTCCCTCAAACTGGAAATGTTTGTGTGAGTTACAAAAGATTCTTGTAGCAGATTCAAATTCCTTCCTTTTTTCTTTCATTTGTCTGTTTCATTCCTTTCTTTTCTATCCTGGTGCCCATCAATATTTTGATGTGCTATTTTTTGCAACTGGAAAAATACATGATTTGTGCAAATAACCTCAGTCATTAGAAAAAGGGTCTGGCAAACTGTTGAAGAATAATATCTCAGAATGTGCTCATCGCAAACTATCGCTCCATTGTCTGTATGGTATGAAGATATTACGGTTACCACACTTTTTTGTTTAGCATTGAAATTTTTTTGTTCTGAAGATATGGTCAACACTCCCGGCAAACAGTGAGAAAATGTAGAGAAATTTAAGTTTGAAATATAATGGTGAGAAAATATTGACGTACATCTATATGTAATTTGAAAAATATATAAATCTGTGTTTGAAATATAACAGGTTGAAGATACCCTTTTACAGCTGTGTTTAAAAAAGAACAGTGAGAAGTTATAGGCACTTCTGTGTTGGAATATAATTTTTCAGTTGTCAGTATTGAAGGATGAATTTTTTATTAAATCTATGATTTCCTTTTCAGCTTGTTCTTTGATGATGGCCGGGAGGATCTGGCCCTGATGATATTTGACTTGCTCAAACCTGGGGTAAGTTTAAACTACATCAAGACTCGTTGTAGAAATACATTTGAACTTGCTCTAACAGCCACCTGTCTTAGACAGTCACCTGCACAGACAACCACTCTCCTCTTCTCCCATTGTGTTTTTTCTCTATGTTGTAATGACTCTGCCCAAAATGTCCACATGTCTAATTCAACCACTTTTCTCCTTGACGATGGGTGGCTGTCTTGGATAATTGCGACAGTACATTAAGACTTGATATTTAGAAATGAGGAGTTCCTTTGGGTTTGAGCTCCTACTATTGGTCAGAGTCAGAGTTTGAATAAAGTATACATATATTCCTTGTGTTTTGTCAGCTTGTCGAGTTCCTTAGACTAATGATAGGACAAGCAGCAGTTGTCTGAAATCTAAATGTTAACATTTCAGATACCGGTAAATATCTATTTATTTTGCTTCCATCATATTTTGTATCATGAAAAAAAAAAAAAAGAAATAATCACTTATTCAATATTTAGACTCTTAAAATTTTGATAATGATAAGGCAAGTCCTGCCAGAAATTAGCCGTTAAAATTTGTAACTCTGTAAAGACATTCTTGAAGGAGCTACTTGTGCTTAGGTTGGAATAGAATTTTGTAGAGCCAGGTTTGGACACAAATGTACCGCTATGATAATAAAAAAAATAATCTCTATCTGTCTGCCTACCCATCCAATTCATCTCCTGGCTGTAGATCAACCTATCAAACACAGCTTTGTTGACTTTGAAATTAACTAATTTACTAGTCTTTATTGAAAGACACCCCCCCCCAAAAAAAAAAAAAGAATTAAATAAAAAAAACTACATCCCCAACATACTGAGTCTGAGGGAGTAAAATAGAAGCGGCTAACAAATGAAGCTCACCTTTTTAAAAATAATTCAATTGCATTGTTTGTAAAGGCTTGGGGTTGGGGAGAAATAAGAGAAAAAAAGGTTGTTTTTGCGGAAGGTTTTGATACAAATAAGATCAAACTTTAGTGTCCTGATACTGGCTCATTGTTTTGATATTTCACTACACACACACACTCACAGCACTTACACACACTTGCACATGTGTGTGTGCATGCATTTTTGTTTAGACACATGCACACACAGACCTCCTCCATGATAAGTTTGTGTTTTTGCCATGAAGACTTTCTAAACTTTGTTTTGTAAATTGCACAGGGCCAGGCTCTGATCTTTGCCCCATCAAGAAACAAAACATTCCACAAGTTTGCCGAGCTAGCGGAGAAAACATTCCAGGTGACGACAGAGTCTGAGTACAACGCTGTTGTTTGGAACATGCATTGCAAGGTACGTGGACATTTTGAGGAACCCTTCTCGGAATATCACATCATGTATTCACTATGATTATGAGTTCCATAAATTTCTTTACTTCTGTTTTAAAAAAAAAATGTAGGCCTACTGCTATGTGGTTTTCCCCTCTCCCATTTCGCTGTAATTTGTGAGGATATAATAATATGCTTGGAAAGCTAAAACAAAGAGAAAAGTATTGTAAAGGAAGTTTTTTTTGTCCCCACGAAGAATAATTGTACAGGCACACTTTGTCAAATGTTGTTACCAAGTATAGTTGAGCCTGCTCTAACTGCGCCACCTGTCAAAAACAGTCACCTGTATGAACGGCCACTTCCTATCTTGTGTTTATGTAGCCTACCTGTTTTTATAAAGAATTTAATGTTGTTCTAAGAAATAATTGGGGGCCTGAAAATATGTTTGTTATGTGTGTGTTTGCTATGTGATTGCTAGACTGTAATTACATGCATCTGCAATTGTCACACTGAAAGTGAAAGTCATGTTAGTTGCCACAATGTAGCATCTGCATTTGTCACACTGAAAGTGAGTCATGTTAGTTGCCACAATGTAGCATCTGCAAGGCTTATTATGTGGAAAAGTAAATCCAAACATGAAGGCTTGTAATAATGCTCATCTCTTTCCCCAACTTATAGATGATGTCTGATTAGGCTATAAATTGTTCTCCGCTTTTCCCCAACGTATAGATGCAACATTTTTCTTATCCCTCAACATATAGATGATGTCTGATTAAAAAAATTTTCCTCTTGACATAGAGAGAGAAAAGAAGATGTCTGCTGATTGTCAAATATTATTCTCCGTTTCCTGTACTGTATGTATAGATGCTGTAATTGTCTTTTCTTTCCCCCACAACACAGATGCTGTCAGAGGACAGCGATATCTACGACGAATCTCTACACTTTCCCATCATGATGAAGTTGAGAAAACCGACAGAGCCCACAGAGTCGAGAGACACCACGCCCGAGTCGAGATAACACTTTAATTGTGTTGTGATGAAGTTTTGCATTCCTCCTAGTTGAAGAGTGGAAGCATAATGTCCTCAAGAAATGGTCATAATGGTGTTGAACTTGAACAGCTCATTTGTACCTCTTTACTTTTCACCGTTCTGCTCAATATTTCCTAGTAATGATAAACCAATACTCACTGTGTCCATGCATTTATTTTTACGTGCATTGTATTAGTTTTATGGACAAAATCATAATGGTAACAACGGACCTTTTTATATTACATACGTCTATGAAAATCGGCTAATTTTCCTATATTTTATGTGCTGTGCTGTGGTTGGACAAAGCATGATAGTAAACAACACCTGTAACTTGTATGGGGCAAGTATGTTGTGCCTTAGTAGAGAATGAGGAATGCACAAAAAAATTTCTCCTCAATCTGAATATCTTGGGACTTTTGCAATTCTTAATACTAAGTAAGACCCTGGAAATGTGTTGGAGAAAGCGGTCATAAATTGCAACCTTTTTGTTTTCAAGTATTCCATGTTCCTCTGTACATTTTGTATTGTTTTGAGAAAGCCGAGCTTAGATCACCAGATCAGTATATTTTCTCCCCAATGTACCACAAAGTTGAAGAACTCGACCAAATACCTTATTGTTTGTCAATCCCTTAATAGTTCAAATATTATATTGTGTTGTTGTCTGTGCATGCTGTTATCATCGACATCTTATTCCTTCTAGTTTTCCATTTTTCAATCATTCCATTTACTTAAGCATGCATTATTTATAGTACTTATACAAGTTATGTATGAAGATACCATAAGAATCTCTACTGGTGACTTTACAGCCAGATCCAGAGATCGCACAAGTATTTTTAAGGCTGGTCAGACATATGACAAGTATGATTGAGGCTGGTCTGAGATAGCCTGTATGATTGAGGCTGATCCATGTATTTGCTCAATGCTTCATCTTGACATATATAAAGAAATTTCCACTTTGGAGGAAGGAGGCACTGTGGAGTCCGCTGAAACTGGAACACCAAACATGGCTAATTTGAAAACAGCTGTAAACCAAAAGAAAATAAAATCAGCAATTTTTTAAACGTCTGTTTGAGCAACCTGTTAAAACCGAAAAACCCGCATAACTGAAGAAAATCCTGCAGTCCCAGGATCCTGTAGATTTTGGTTTTGAAGCGGACACCACTGTAAGTTGTACAGAAGGCACTATGTAAGATTAGGTGCATTACTCAGTGTGCTTCAGTTGCATTACTCAGTATGCTTCAGTATACTTATTCCAGATGTAGGTGTATGCTGTGAATCCCTTTTTTAGGTAGACATTCCACTTTTCATTATTGTTCAGTATTTATTTAATTCATGTCGTATTATTTTTGGTCAAATGAAAATCGTCTTTAGCTAAATATGTCTCAAATGGCCCAGGGCCCTTTTACAAACATATTGGCCTGTAACTCTAGTAGGAGTAATGTCTGCTCAATTGTCAATGCTTGTCCCTGGTAAATTGAAAAGATTATGTTTGATTAAATAAAACAATGAAACTTTGAAGATGAAAACCCATTACTTTCGGGAAATAATTGTTAGGCTTAAAAGAATTTGTATGACCATTTCACTTATTTCAACTTGAGCAATGTCTTTGAGATGGAAGCACATATATATATAAACTGAATGTCTTAAAAGTAATTGTTTTAAGTTTTTTACTCTCTCTGCCTGAAAATAGTTTTCCCTTTCACTGAAAAATTGTAGCAGTTAGCTGATATGGACCGCTGGTCTTTCTCCACACAAAAGGCATGAGTTTGAACCTGTACCTAGGCATTCCATGTACGGTATCCCAAGATAAAGTGCAATGTTTCCTCAGCCAAGTTTTTGTTGTTCTCTCCAGTTTGAGGCTTTTTTTTTCAATCCTTTTTTGTTTTGTTTTTCACCCTGCATGTTTACAGACATTCAGTTTGATTTCCCTGTGTCAGTACTGGGAACTACTTTACTGACTAATGGATTTATCCATTTGTCAAGAATAACCCAATAGTTATCTACAGGTCGCATATTAATTGAAATCAAAATCATTGACTTTTTTAATGTTGTGAGCACAATTTTAGATGTTTGTATTAAGTTTTTAGTCTTGTTAAGTTTGAAATTACCTCTTGTAGCCTATGTTTATCTTGTCAACTTTTACTTTGAAATAAAATTCTTAAAATAACATTACAGTGTACGTTTTCTTCACACGTAACCTCTATGTTCTCCCATATAAAAGAGAAAGAGTTGTAAGGTGAGTTGTGGTCTATTCTGCTATGACTACGACATTGTAGTTTTCCTCAATTGCAAAATGGTGTTGAAGTAAAGAGAGATGGCTTTTGCAAGAGAAAAACAAAAGCTGTTACATTTGCCTAACCACAGGGAGAAAATATTTTTAAACTCTTTTTTGTTTTTAAAATTGTAGGTGTTTTTTACACCCCCATCAACTCAATTTTGATCAGTTAGGAGACAGGCTTCCAACCCTGCCTGTCTCGGTATTTCGGCTGGGGTGTTGTATCCCTTTAAGACCAGGTCAGCCCTGACAGGCAGGGTCGGTTCCGGCCCACTTTCTAAATGAGTTAAATTGTAACGATAGGGACGTAAAAAAAGATTTGGAAATAAATTACCACATTAACCAAAACTATAAAAAAACAAATAGAAAAAAATAACAGCACATTAACGCATTTGTCAGTATACATACAAGATCATTGCAAGATTTATTTACAAAAACATTACAAATAATACGAGGCCAATATCATCTGGCCCACTTCTTTTTCGTAATTTTCGCTGGGATGAGATACGGATTGTCGATGGCGTCAGCATCAAGTTGTGCGTCGGGGTTCGGGCCCTCTTCGTTCACCCTCAGGCCAGGGGCAGACGACTGGTGGTGCCCGCTGCCAGTCTCCAGCTCGCTGCCGTCTTGAGAGGACACCTCGCTGTCCATGGGGAGCAGGGCGGACATGTAGGGCAGCGCGCTTGGCTTACAGGCTATCACTGAGGGGAATATATAAAGGTCATCATTGTAGCAGGATGGGAACTTTCTAGTTTTAGGGTAAGGAGTTTAGTTTTAACTTTAGTAAGTGTTTTACAGCACTTGCAACACAGTAAGGTCATATAATTGCCGAAGAATAGAGGTGTTGCAGAAGAGTAACGAACACAAAAAAGAAGGAGGGGAGATAAAGACGATAGATGTTCGATAGGAAAGAAAAAGCAAACCACACCAGAGCACCTGCAAACCACCCACAAACTCGGAGAACATAAACGAGAGACAATACCAAGTTACTTCTGCTTTGAGCACCTTAAACTGAAGGGAAGACACTTTACACGCGAAAAAGACAAACTTACATTAAAAAAAAAGACAACTACTCTTACATTGAAAAGAAGACAAAAGGACGGCAGTCTGAGCAACTTACATGGAAAAGAAGACTTGTCGTCCTTGAAGAGAGAATGCGTAGCTCCAGTCTTGGCAATAAAACGAGTCAAGCCAACCTCCACGTCCCTTTTCTGGGATGCTGCTTTCTCTCGCACCAGCTGGTACTCATTGGCAGGCTGTCTGACGCACTAGAGAAAAAAAACCAAACCAAACATTGAAAGCTTTACTTTAAAGTGTATCGACTGGTGGTAAAGTAATAGAAATTCCTAATCATTTGACAGGGTGAACGCATGGCCTTGACTGCAACATTTTATTCAAGCAGGCACCAATGGGTTATAATTGCTTGACAAAAGTTGGCCGTATTATAAGTTCTGTACGGTACCTCCTATAAATCAACTAATTTGACAAAAAAGTAAATTTCTTTTTTTTTTAATAGTAGAGGGTTTTACAGCGCTCGCAACTGCATAAGGTCATATGAGCGCCAAGGGGTGGGTGTCAACAGAGAAGTCTTTACAGGGAATCAGACTTATTCTGCTCACCTCTCCAGCTTCAACAGCACAAGGTCTGCTTTGACTATCAAAGCACCCCGGAAATAGCTGGTCACAAGAGAGTGACAAACATACAAAAGAAGTAGAGGAAAATGACAATAGTAAGGATTAAGAAAGAAAAAACAGCAGTTCCCCGTCGCAGATCAGGCAAAGTTATGAGCGTGACATGAATCAGCCCATTTACAATTCTACTGTGCTTGAACGAGAAATGTCCCCTCTTTGGGAATGGCCTAAAGACACTACAGTCAGTGGCACTGTCCCGCGGGGTAGTAAATGTCTGGAATAAACTTGTATCACAGATTGAATCAGCAACAGCACAGCAGCTCTTCATGTGCTTCTGTGATCTCCTTCATTGACTACAGGACTTAGCTAAATCCTTGCACAAACTTTTCAAACTTCATACAAACATGGACAACAGACGACAAATAAAATTTTAATTTTTATTTAAATAATCCATGCAAATTAGAATTGATCACAACATTAATTCACAAAAAGAGATCAACTAGGATCCATCATATTGCAATGTATTTTACAGGAGTTTTGATGTCATTGTGAGGGAAACAACCACAACATAACGTGCTGGATCATACTGGACATTTGTTTTAGAAGAGGTTTTACGGTGCTCGCAACTGCATAAGGTCATATGAGCGCCAAGGGGTGGATGTTAACAGAGAAGTCCTTAAAAGGAATCAGACTTACTCTGTTCACCTCTCTAGCTTCCACAAAGTCTGCTTCGACTATCAAGGCACCCCTTAAGTAGCGGGTCACAAGAGTGACAAACATACAAAAGAAGTAGAGGAAAATGACGATAGTAAAGATTAGGAAATTAAGAGCAGCAGTTCCCTGTCGTAGTTCAGGCACAGTTATAAGCATGACATTGTTGAATCGGCCCATTTACAATTCTACTGTGCATAAGAATGAGAAAGTCCCCTCTTTAGGAATGGCCTAAAGACACTTCAGTCAGTGGCACCGCCCTGGGGGGAAAAACGTGCTGGAATTTTGATATCAGTGTGATGGAAGCAATGAGTAATCACATCAATGTAACTTACAGGACTTTGTATGTAAGTGTGAGAGAAAAGATAGCTACCGCGTGACTTACTTGACTTTTGATGTTAGTATATAAGAAAACAATGACAAGAATGCAACACACTGGAGTTTTGAAGTAAATGTGAGAGAAACAATTACTGGAGTGTGGCAACTTACTGGAGTTTTGATGTCCGTGTGAGGGAAGCAATTTAAAGTAATTACAACAGGTTAACTTACTGGAGTTTTGATGTCCGTGTGAGGGAAGCAATTTTTAGTAATTACAACAGGTTAACTTACTGGAGTTTTGATGTACGTGTGAGGGAAGCAAAAAGTATTTTTTTACAACAGGTTAACTTACAGGAGTTTTGATGTACGTGTGAGGGTCGGGAAACGAGGGCAAGTGGTCTGGGATGTGGCCTGGGTGCTTTCTCTTATCGCCAACTTGTAAAATTTTTGCTTGTGGTGGGTTGGGGGCTTGCAGGGCTGAAAAGCAAAATATATAACTTTAGGAAGTTCACATTGATAAACTTATTATAAAACTTAAAAATATAATTTCGTTTCAGATATGAAACTTGACTTAGGAAAAAAGCATATTATAGTTTTGACTGAATCAAACTATACACGTATCATAAGTAAACAAACTTAAGAGGTGAAACACATATAGCTGGATTAAGGACGTAAGGGAGCGTTTCAGGCCTGTGGTTCCTATTCAGTATAGTGGGAGAGCATGATTAATTAAAAATAACTTGCTTTCTTCCACAAAAATCACTCCCATCAATATAGATCTATTTCCACACCGACATAAAATTCGAAATATTTTATTTGTATCTGATACCTGCTTTTGAAAAATTATGTGGACAGAAGTCCTGGACTACAGCTTCACAGTCAAAACTAAAAATGGTGTAAAATTATGAGAAAAAATGGACATACTACATCGTAGGGAAGACGAAATTATAAATGAACAGATAATAAAAGAGCCTACTTTTACCGGAGCTTGCGAAAGACTGGGAGATCAGTCACAACTACAGTCAAAATTGATGAAGGTCGTCACCCATTGTCGAGGAGAAAGAGACTGTCTTCGACAGGTTGATGTCGTGGACAGAGACATTATTATTTTTAATAGTTTAAGAGGTAGTGTGGGGGGATGGGGGGGGGGGGGGGATTGGAAGTGGTCATTTGTACCTTAATTAAGGCGTATGAATACCAATCAGTTACTCACGAGGAAGAATGAGACTTTTGTTCTCTCTCTTTGCGTGACCCGGCAGCTTGGTGAAGTCAACACCTGAAAACACAAAACAAAATGACATCTGTTTCATGTTCATTAAAAAAATTAAACAATCCAAAAATAAAACATATACGGGGTGCCCACTATGGCTGGATCGGGCCGATCGTCCGACTCGATCGCCGGAAACTGAAAACACATTTTTTTAGGCGATTGAGTCGGTCGATCCCATCCGTAGTGGGCACCACGTATTACAGATAGAATTAATGAACTAAGCAATTCTCGACACAGAGTTCCGTGAGAGGGCGAAATGTACGAATCATATACGGCAGATTTGTTTAACATGAACTTTTTATGAGCACTCTGCTTAACACAAACCAATCTCTAGTCCCATGTGATTCCTGTTATCAGAGTTTTAATAAATACTAGAATTTGAGAGAAAATAAGTGTATACAACTTATTTCAATTGCAGCATGTCACAAGATGTTTTAAAAAGATCAACATCCATCAGATATTACAAGTGGATCAACATCCACCGGAATCAGATATAAGTGGATCAACATCCATCACATGTTAGTGGATCAACACCCATCAGATGTTAGTGGATCAACATCCATCGGAATCAGATTTAAAAGGATCAACATCCATCAGATGTTAGAGGATCAACATCCATCAGATGTAAGTGGATCAACATCCATCACACGTTAGTGGATCAACATTCATCAGTTCATCAGATGTTAGTGGATCAACATCCATCAGATGTTAGTGGATCAACATCCATCAGATATAAGTGGATCAACATCCATCAGATATTAGTGGATCAACATCCATCAGATGTTAGTGGATCAACATCCACCGGAATCAGATATAACTTATAAGTGGATCAACATCCATCAGATGTTAGTGGATCAATATCCATCAGATGTTAGTGGATCAACATCCATGATCAGATGTTAGTGGATCAACATCCATGATCAGATGTTAGTGGATCAACATCCATCAGATGTTAGTGGATCTACATCCACCGGAATCAGATATAAGTGGATCAACATCCATCAGATGTTAGTGGATCAACATCCATCAGATGTTAGTGCATCAATATCCATCAGATGTTATTTAAGTGGACAAGCATGCATCAGATACAAAGGTAAAAAAATGATATGATACAAAAATTGCTGCATTTACCCATTTCAACGAGTGACATGACAACATCACTTGGCATCACTCGTGTTCTTCCGGCCAACTCTGCGTAAGCGCCTGAACTCCGTCCTGCTTCCCATATGTCTGACAGATTAAAAGGGAAATAAAAAACATGAAGGAGAGTATACACTGCAGAATTAAAGTGGTCGATGAATACAGCCATGAAAAGGTCGCAGCAGAAAGTTGTGATGAAAATCAAAATCACAGTATTACCTACTTTCAAATCAGATTGTATAATTACCTAATTCTATGACAACAAACCACTATAATGTACAAATCTCAGCTCATATGAAAACTAATGCATACCAAAGTCATACTGTCATTATCATGCAGTGTTTAAAAGCAAAATGCCAAATTGAAATATATATGAGCCCAATTCCTTTGTAAAATATTTTCACTTAGATTTTGTGTCCAGATATTTGTATCAAGTCTTTGATTTTGACTTATTCGAAAAAATTTTTTTTGACCCGAACACCAAAAACCCTCCATACGGTACTCTTTGAATATACTCCTGTGTAGAAATGTTAAAACTTACAAGCTTGGACAATTTCCAGAAGCGTTTCCAGGGCCATGTTATCTGCCGACTGGTACCCACACTCCACGAGCAGAGCTGCCACAGCTGTCCTCAACGTCCTCCTCCACGGATTAGAAGAAGACGGCGTTGGCGGTGGCTCCGTCGTCATGACTAGGAAGAGGTCTTCAAATAAAAAGTGCCATTAAAAGTTTGGTACTAGTACGGTATGTATGCTTGTATAGTGCTTTAGTTTTAGTAACAGTTTTACAGCATTTGCAACACAATAAGGTCATATAAAAGAGCCAAAGTTTAGAGAGGTGTTATTTATGAGAGAAACAAACACAAAAGAGAAGGAGGGGAGATAAAGACAATAGATGTCTGTGATAGAAAAGAAGAGGAACAAATCACGTCCCAGTTGGATCGTGCACCACAGACAACAACGTCCTGATTACCAAAGGAAAAGGATGCCAAACAATGTAGTAAAACCTGCTAAATATTACAACAGCACAGAAAAAGCTTGAAGAGTTTTTGACACTTGAGCTTGAAACACTATATGTACATATAAAAATTTAAAAATACTAAGGTCTGAGTCTACACTGCTCATTTAAATTGTATATTTTGATTACAGTAGGGTAGGTTCTTCTTTCTATCTCAACTCAAAATTTTGAAACTTTGATGGCCTACACACAGATAAACAGCTAAAAATATGGTAATTGGATTCCCGTGGAAAATACAAAACTAATAGAATCTACTAGGTAACCGGTCATTTCGTCACACGGTCATCTCGTCACCCCCCAATCATGTGTGATGAAATGACTTCGCATATATATATCTCTCTCCAAAATTGTTAAGCTAGTAGAGTTTTGGAGAATCAGCCTAAAGCTTTTTTGGGAAGTTATATTTATAAACGACTCGCACAGCCGCCCCTCACCCCCCTCCAATCCTTCCACACACAGCCCTAACCCTCCCCCCAAAATCGTGAGTGTTTGCCATGACAATGCCCGTTTGATGTTCGCAAGTGTGCTACGAAATGACCGTCTCCATTCAACCTTGTGGATTTGGGGTGTGACGAGATGACTGACATCTTGACTGCACAGGTGTGACAAAATGACTGGTATTCATCTATTAGGCCTAATTTGCTGCAGGAACAGGGATATAAAGTTGAAATAGGAGGGATAAAAATGACAAACAAAAAAGGACGGCACTTGAGCATGAGATGCCCAGAGATAGGAGTGACAAAGTACAGAAGTAGTACTCAGTAGTAGTAGTAGATATCTAGATCTAGTAGTAGCAGTACAGCAATAGCTGCAGCAACGAAGTAGCAAAGTACTGTGTACCGAGTACTGTAATAGGAGTTATAAGTTATAGTGCAGTGAGTAGTATTCGGTAGATCTACAACTAAACTAGGCCCAACTAGATCTATGGTATAGCTTAATATATTCACCTTCGTTTGTCCGAGTTAAAAAAAATTCTAGCTCATTTAATATAAATTTACCAGACCAAACTGCATTGTAAACTGCATGCAAAGACCTCTAGACTCTAGATCTAGACATCTACATCTAGACTAGATTCTAGATCTAGGTATAATCTCTAGAATCTAGAGGCTATTAGATCTATAGATCAAACAGAGCATTGTTTTTTGGCCGGCTCTATTTCTCAGAACGCTCGGGAAAGTAAACTTGAACTCCATTTCTCTGAACGGTATCCGTTCTCGAGATTTGATGATAATTTGCGAATAGAGTGGCCCGGGCATGTGTTTGTGTGTGTGTATACGCGCGTGTGTGTGAGTGAGTGTGCGTGTGTGTGTGTGAGTGAGTGCGTGTATGTGTCTTACGGAGGTTGTAATAAGGTGTAATCGAGGCATGGGGGAGGGGGGCGGGGAGGGACTTTTTTTGGTTCACTTGAAGGATTTTAGTGTTTGCTTCACGGGTGACTGCCGGTTAGCTTGCTGCCAAGGTCGAGCAGTCCTATTTTCTCGCAGTACCCTTTGAAGGCATTTTCAAAAGAAGTATAGTCCGGGAACGTCACCCCAACCACTGCTGAAGTATCTGAATATTCAGACATTTAAAAATCTCTAGATCTAGCTCTAGAAATTGAATTCGATGTAAAAAATGCTTCTTCCCAGTCCTCGCAGAATGAAAGATGACTCCCACATCTCGCAAATTATCGCCAGTACTAGACCTAGATCTAGTAGCCATCGTTTCTACATAGTAATATTGTAGTTCTGCCTGAATTGTGGAAGTTTTCTTAGTGTCTTGATAAACCTCCTAAGATTTGACTCCTTTTTTTAAGACGGTGTCTTATTCCAATCAGTATGGGTAGATCTAGATCTAGATTAGATCTAACAATTGTTTCTGAAATTGTTTACACAAAGTAGACTAGAAGACGTAGTCTTGTTCATCTCTCATAATCATTTGAGTTTGAGCAATTAAAAGTCGAAAGACGCTTCGATAACAATAACAAGACGATGCAACTTGGTATAAGTAAGCACTATTTCCTGTCCTTTACAATAGAAGGGCCTAGATCTACCTAATAATATTATCTTTAAGTTAGGCCTGGAGAACGTGTGATAACAAGATGTCTCTACGTTCTCTAAATACTCTAGCAGATAATGTTCAGTGCTTCCAAGCGTGGCATCGAATCCCGGTCCCGGAAGGTTGTTTTTTTTTCCGTGTTCTCCTCCAGAGCCTAAAATAATCCACTATTGAACTTTAACCAGGCCTAACTTAGGCTAGGCCTAGGCTACTTTGTACAGAGCGCCTCTTGGGGACAAAATCAGAATGTGCATGCTTCATCGCTACATAAAAAACTACAAAGCAACAAGTTTTAATATTTATGGGGAAAATTTGATGGTCAGTCGAGAAGAGGACAAAAAAACAACAAGAAAACCTTCCAGGACCGCGATTCGCACCCACACCCCCAAAATAATGGTTTGGCTTCAAACGTAGACGCACTATCACTTCGGCCATTAGAACTTCCAACAACGAAAGGTAGATCTAGATTTTAAAAGCTTCATATAACAAGCAGTGTTTTAATTAGCACTGGCGCTAATCGCAACGTAGCATTTTATTTAGCACTGGGAATGACTGGTGCTTCGCAACGCGGCGTTGCAAATCTAGGCACTTCCTTAATTAGTCACTGACAGAGGTGAACAAGCCAAATCTAAGTTAACAAAAGTGTTGATCTAGATCTAGATCTACGAGTATTACACGGTACTATAGAAGATCTAGGTAAGATTGAAGAATACCGGACCAGCGGACTGACTTTGCCTATGTCTCAACCTGAGGAAATCATAATTCGCAGTGGCTATTTTTACGGCGAGCCGTAAAGATAGCCTCCCAGGCTATTTTTACGGCGTGCCGTAAAGATAGCATCCCAGTGAGTCCCAGGCTATTTTTACGGCGATCCTCGAAAAGCGACGCTACTCCGCCTCTCATGTACGCGACATGCCTCAATGTATTAGATCTAGGCCTATAGGGGCCGTTCAAAATATAAACTTACACCTCAGAGAGGAAAGGGTGTCTTTGGCTTCTGTAAGAAAAGTGGAAGATTGGTGGGTGGGGAGGTTAACCAAATATGACACTTCTGTGAGATGAACGTTTTGCTCATGACTGGGAAGAAAAAGTGGATAAATGCCAGTAACAAGTCCCAGATCTGCAGGATCACTGCATATCCCCGTTGTTTTTTTTTGGTTTTTTTTTTAGGGGGGGGGGGGGGTACAAATAATTTTGAAATTATGATGAAAATTTTGTAGGTGGATATCTAATTTCTTAATGTTTCTTCGTAACTTTGCAACTGTTTTGTTGATCTTTTAGTGTCTTGATGTCTTTTATTTGTAAGGCACGTACCTATTGCATTGACAACAGTCTCAATGTCTTCCACATATATGCGTTTCTTTTTAGTCCATATGGTTTGGTTAAATTGTAGTAACTGAAATGATTTTTTTTTTTACAAGCTAGTTAAAAAAAAGCCACGTATAGTACAGGTATCTTTAAAATAATAATGGAAGTTGAAGATCGGAAAAAGTACTAATATTAAATTGGTGTAGGTGGGGGTTGGAGACAAATAGGAGAAAAGTGGTATTGGGTTTTGTGTTTTAAAAAAGTCCCCAAAAGTGTAAAATTATATTTGAACAGCCCCAAAGGTTTTCCATTTTCCCATCTTCACCGTCATTCTATTCTCTTCTTCATCTTCCTTCTCCCTTCCTCCACCACCACCTCTTCCTTCTTCTCCCCACCATCATCATTCACCCTCTCTTTATCATCACCACCACCATCACCTCCTCGTCACTATCATTACCATCATCACTGCCACTGCCAGCATCACCATCTCATTCACTGACATCACTACATGTACCACACCCACAAGAAGAGCGGCCATTTTGAAGTTAACACTTTTGGCCTTGGGAATGCCTTTAAAATGTTCCTCCTTCCTTACAATTTGCACTGAGCAGATTTTTGATAGAGGTGTGAATTTTTTTTTTGTGTTCACAATGATTAATTTAATTATTGTGATGAAATTTCAGGGTACAGGAACACATATATATTTTTTTACATTCAAATATCAAAATTATTCCTCTACGGCTATGGTGACTCCGGGGTCCACCAATCCTTTTAAAATTAACCTTACTTATTTCACTACGCTGACCCCGGGGTCCACCAATCTTTAAAGAAACCTACTTGTTTCACTACGGTGACCCCGGGGTCCACCTGTCCTAAAACCTAGTATTTCGCTAGGTAGACCCCAGGGTCCACCTTAAACCTGCTTATTTATCACTACATTGACCCCGGGGTCCACCAATCCTTACTTAAACCAAACCTTATTTCACTATGGTGACTCCGGGGTTCACATCCTAAAACCTAGTATTTCGCTCTGCAGACCCCAGAGTCCACCTATCCTCTACAGGACTAAACTATTATCAATTTGCAATTTTCATTGATTAGCATATTATTTTTAAAATATTGAATCAGAGACTTGCTGTCTAAAAAGTCCACTGCTAATGCTATTCTTTTCAAAGAAAATGGCACAATTTGATTTTATGACATGTTGAAAAAAAGAGTTTTAAAAGTATCCCGAAAACAACATAAAATGATTATATAGATCTCTCTCTCTCTCTCTCTCTCTATATATATATATATATATAAAAATATATATATGTGTGTGTGTGTGTGTGTGTGTGTATGTATTTTATTATGTATACTAAAAGGCTGAGCAGAGGCTTACAATGTAAATTCTGTGCTCTACAAGTAGAGAAAATATTAAGTTTGCGCAAAACAGATTTTATAAAAAAAAGTTGGATCTCATTATTCTAATACAAGTAAAAGGGATTGTTATGCTGAGATTTGTTATTATCGACTCTGGAAATACAGTTACTTGCTGAATCTAAAAGTAACTAGAACTGTGCAATTCGTTTTATTTCAATTCCAAAGCCCAAAGGCATAGCAATAATAAGTTAGATCTAGATCTAGCAGTTGTAGGCTCTCTGGCTGCTTCTAGCATATGCCTGCTACTACTGATTCTAGACAGGGAATCTAGATCTTGCTATCGCCTGCACTATTAAAGTCAAAAATATATGGTAAAATAAAAACAAAACAGAATTTTTTTCAGTCAGTACATCCCAATTGCCATAGCCGCACGTATTAATAGTTGAATAATGCGATACCGCAGCAACACGTTATCACAGTGTGCAGGGGAGAGCGAGGTGCCCGGTCGATTCGGTGGTTTGGCTTTTGTAGATCTATGCATTTTTTACGGAAAGCCCTATTACCTAACCCTCTTACTAGATCTATTAGTGTTGTGAAAACTTCAACCTCTACAGCTCAGGCGTCAAGAGATGCTGGAAAATAATAATACGTCCTGAAGTTTCATAATTTATTTTTATACAGAATAACACAGTACACAGCCAGTAGTTTTTATTTCATCGAGTTATAAAAATGGCCTTCGTATAAAAATTGCCTTGTTTTCAGAAGCAAATTTTAATAGTTCTAGTTCTACCGAATCGATTTTCACGCGAATTCAACTATTTTGATGATCTTTCTTTTCCTTTTAAAAATATGTAGATCTAGGCCTGTCGGATGTGGCAGTGCGAATAACACTGAGTTGTTTAGATCTAGACCCATCAAAACACGAGGCTTCGTGGCCGATCACAAAAGTCTACGGGGCTTATCGAGGCCGATTCGCCCTGCCACGAGCACGTTCACTAAACTGCCTACTAGATAGAATCTACTACCAAATATTCTCTACACGATCTTTGCTACTACTACTACTAGGCCTACTAGCCTACATGTACTACTACGAGACAGTACGAGAGAGTGTCACTCAGGCAAAGATAGTGTAACTTTGACTCAGCCACGTAGTGTACACTCTTTTTATACCCCAAATTTAACCCGGAAGTCCATTCGGAGGATTTGACCTTTTCACTTGACCAAAGTGTGCCAAAATGGTAGCCTAGCTTTTGCCCCTCCATGAAGGAAAAATCTGGCCCTCTGGGATTGAGCAAAATTTTGCGTATTGTGCTTTGTTCTTTACAATATTCATTATGGTTATGATTTATGAGTTGTACACTGAGACAAAAGCGTACTAAATGAGAAGGGTGCACCATTATGAAAGTGGAACGAACTCAGTTGCCTGAAAAGGGTAGTTTGAGCATGTGTGGCCTAAATAAGCTAAACCCCCCTCCCTTACCTTATTTAGGCCATATGTGGCCTAAATAAGCACTCCCAACAATCAAATATTTCAAAAACTATAAATAATTTGCAACGGAAATGAAGTTGATATTCGTGTTCAGCGCATCAACATTTGAAAGTGGCTATTCTCACCCGCCCGGAAGTTCTCGCAAGATCTACTCCTCCCCTCTTCTCTCTCTCTCTGTCTCTTTCTGAATACTGTCTATCGGTGTGGACGATCAAATTGACCAAAACAAAGTTAAAAAATGATGTTAAAACACAAAAGTAAATTAATTTAGTTGTCTACAAAGATGCTACGGCTATTTTAATTTAACTTTTCGAATCGAGCCGAACTACGCGGGTCGCCATTTTGTTTTGTTCTCTCTCACTCTCTCTCTCTCCACTGCCCACAGTCACAGACAAAATTGTACGCTTTTAGTATTAGTAGGCTACAAGTACAGTTGTAATGGAACGTTTGTTCACAGCACAGAATTCTACAATTTTTCTGTTATCACAGTGTAGAATTCTGTGGTTTAGGGTGAACGCAAAATTTGTTGACACGCGCACCGGGTGAGAAAAGCCACAAGACCCGCCTGCACTATTCTCACCCCGGGTGAGAATAGAGGTGGCCTCAACATTTAGATAAAGTAAAAAAATATCTTTTAATTCAGTTGAAGATGACTGTATCTGTGAGTGTGTTTGTCTTTTGTAAGCTAAAAATCCGAGTCGTGTCGTGGACAAGGTAAACAGAGCCGAGTAGATCTGATCTAGAATATCTAGATTTTTAGATCAGTAGTAGACTAACTCACAGCTGTGAGCTTTGGCTTTCAGCATGAAAATAAAAATCAAACTCCTTACCACTGTCTACCAGCTACTAGATCTACGGCTTGCTTTCTCACTTTAAAAACGAAGCCTGATATTTGGATTTGTAAACATTGAGTACATTGACAAGCAATGAAACAGAGACTTGTACAAGCACAATCTTTGAAAGAAAGTAAAGAAGCACTACCAGCAATCAGCACAGTTGCCTTGGCTCTCTCAGTCCCAGAGGAAGAAAAACTAGACTACCTGTCGAGCTCACTTAGAACAAAAAGTTTATATTTATTGAGTAAATACGAAAGCTACGCATGCGCACTGCTTTTGTTATTATCGGATGGACGCAAAAATTGGGAGGTAGTATCGAACAGGTTATTGCCTTTGGCACTATCAGAGAATACGATCAAGAATCACCTTTTTCCTAGCTATGCCAAGAAAATAAAATTCTTTGAGCTTAAAAGTTTTCTTATCCCTTTATAGCAAATAAAAGCTTGCAACCGAATTAAGAATAAATAGTATCTTAATCCCATAGGGGTATCGAGTCTGATTCCCTTCTCTCAATACGCAATACTCTCTTACGGTACGAAATTTGAATGACAGTGAAGAGTGGTACTGTAGTAGCGGTAGGACTCAGTCTCTCTAACGTTGTAATTTTTTATCGCCACAGAATGACGACTACAGCTGGAATATTGCTTTGCTTGTGAAGCTTTCAGTTGAATTGACGTGTTGGTTGTCTTTTAAAGTCATAAGAAGGTATGAAAAGATGTGTTTTATAGTTAAGAGTCTAGATCTAGTGGAAAAGCTAAAATCTAGGCCCTAATTATTATTGATTTGTTGTGCTTTACTTCGCTGGGCCAGGGCTGGTGGAGCTCGCGAAACGAATAAAACGTCGACCACTCATTTTGATTTGCAGAACTCATTGATTATATTGTCATTTATCATCATGTCATGAGTCTGGTTGCTTGAGCGTTTGAGGCTGGGTTTAACTTTGATGGATCCATCGTGTTTACATGTTATTAATGCGCACTACTAGAGGGGGGGGGGGGGGGGGTGCCTCCCTCACCCTGTAACCTGTTGTCACTGTTGACACTGACACTGTTGTTAGTAGGGGGGGGGGGGGGTTCAGATTTCAGGGGAGGCACTCCTGCACAAATGCGGTCCCGTTTGCACTAAATCACACTAGGCCTAGCACAGAATAGCCTACACTGGATATCGATGTCAAGGGCCTTTTGCCGATCAGCGCGATCTTAACCCTAGAAGCGCTCAGCGTTTCACCGGAAGTAACCCGCCAAAAATGCCCCGCCGCCACGGCCGATCAGTTGTAAACATGGGGGTTTGGTGGGGGGGAAACAGCTGAGATACGCGAAATGTATACCTGCTACTGAAAAATGACAATTTACGGCTCAACAGATGATAAAAAGCATATATAATAAAAGCCTATATTTTCTTTAAGGTGATAGAATGAGCCATTCAAAAATGATCAGCGATCAAATAAATACAAAGCCGAGAATGCGATAGACTCAACAATTAGTAAATCAGCACGGCGAAACAAGTGATAACACATAGCGTGTAGTGGCTCAGCGGGACCGCGTCACTTTATCGATCGATATCTTGGCCAAGAGACGCTCTACGAGGTCAAGATAACTTGCAAAGTCATTGGTCACTATTTATAACTTTGGCCTGTAATTGACTACGTCATTTTCCATATAAGGAACACTGGAATTTTCCATTGAAAAGGGTCAGCGTCTCTATGCCCTTTATATAGGGCCTGCGCGCTTCCCGGTCGAAGTAGGTCAGCCCTATATATAGGGCGTGCGCGCTTCCCGGGTAGCCCGGCTCACGCCCTTTATATAGGGCCTGCGCGCTTCCAGGGTTAAGATGGTGCAGCGCCGCAGAACCATGACGATCCGCAGAAAGCGCTGTGCTTTTTCAGTAGTTCCCACCCCGCAATTGTTATTCACGTGTTTAGGCCCCAAGAGTAGGGGGGTCCTGACCTATATAAATAAGGTGGGGGGTTTCAGGGGGGCATGCCCCCTGAATTTTACCACTATTTAATGTTTTGCAGTTGTCGTTGTTGGGTTTGATTATATCTTAGCTCGCTACGAATCAAACGTATAGATCTAGATCATGTAGGTCAGGCTCAAATAAGGGGGGTGGGAACTACCGAAAAAGCACAGAAAGCGTGGCCATCTTGAGATGGGCGCGACGCGCCATCACACACAAACAAACGATTTTGCAAAGTTCACAAACAAAACTCCACAGAATTTATTATCATTAATTTCAAAAATAAAAAAACCGAAGTGTATACAGACCCGGTAACCGGGAACAAAGCCACGAAGTATACAGGCCCGGTAGGGGAACTCTTTTGCGATTTCGGAAAGTTTCAGCGCCCAGACCCGGTAGTGTGAGTGTGAGTGAGTGAGAGAGAGAGAGGAGAGAGCAGAGGGAAGTGCTGGCAAAATGTATGACACAGTTGGCAGGAGGGAACGAGAGAAAAATAGAGTGGGAAATAGGAGGGGAGAAAGAAAGACAGCTCAGGCTCAGAGACAAACAAAGAAAAAGAGAATGCGAGCTATACACAGAGACAGAGGAAGTAGGAGAGAGGGAGAGAGAGAGAGAGGGGGGGGGGGAGACTGCTCGATTTAAATTATGACATTGTTCTTTTCTTCAAATTGTGATTCCTCCAACTCCAAAACGGGGGAAAAATGATCGTTCATCGAAAAGCCATCCGCAATCTTGATTTAGATCTAGATTCTAGATCTCTAGATCTAGGCTAGCCTCGAAACTAGATCAATGATTTATGAATATCTGTCGGTCTAGATCTAGACCTAGGCCATAGATCTAGAAGAACGTAGTTTTACTCTGAGCCAAGAGGGCGCTGAAACTTTCTGAAATCACAAAAGAGTTCCCCTACCGGGTCTGTATACTTTGTTACTTTGTTCCTGGTTACCGGGTCTGTATACACTCCCTAAAAAAAAAAAGGTTCAAGAGGATGCAAATATCTCTTGCCATTACAGCCTTTCTCTTTTGACTTTTTGCGTTTCGTTTCTAAGTGCTTTGCTTTCCCCTTTCATTCAGGGTTGCCACATTTTTTTCGGTCTCCTGCCAAACCAACGGCAAATGGCACAATTATTGCTTGCTTTGCACAATCTTAAGATCGCGCAGCTCTATTCATTTTCGGAAATAATCCGTAGATGGCGCCCTCATCTCGAGATGGCCGCGCTTTCTGCGGATCGTCATATATGGTTCTGCGCCATCTTAAGATCGCGCTGATCGACAAATGGCGCTTGACATCGATACTGATTTATGGTGGCCGCGGCTATTCGGACTCTCGAGTCTGAATTTGAGTCCGAATGAATAGCCTTCAGTGGCTATTCGGACTCAAACTCAATGTGCGTGCACAATCACTAGGTGTATTGGGTGTCACAGTTAAATATTCCTTTTTATCATTGGAAGAGGCTAGCCGTACTTAATGACGGGTAGACTGGCAGTCTAGCCGTACTTATTCTTAATATGATGGCTAGACTGACCATTTACAAAAATAGGCCTACTGAATTGTAAACATTTTTAATATGCAGTACCTAAAGTATTTGCATTTGAGACGAAACCAGGTGCCTTAATGACAGTGCATGTATTTTAAACCTCCTGTTTTCTAATGTTAATAGGGCCTAGATAAGTACGGCTAGACTGGCAGGCTAGCCGTACTTAATATTGATGGCTGAATTGTAAATGAAATTTTTAGTTTGCAATGCCTAAAGTATTTGTATTTATTTCAAACAAAACCAAAAGATGCCTTACTGACTTACATGTATTTGAACCTGAATAATTACTAGATCTAGATCTAATGAGACCTGTGTACTAAACAGGCTTGAGTCGATAGGGCCAAACCTAGATCTAAGTACGGCTAGACTCTCAGTCTCAGTCTAGCCGAAGTATGGCTAGCCACTTCGTTTATCATTTTTGGTTTAATGAATTGCTGTGTTCATCCTTCTCCAGTTGGCACAATGAGTTGGGCCGCTGATGAATGGAAGAATGAACTGCCTCAGAAGGCTCTTCTGAAAATCACCCAGATTGAAACCCAGTTGGAGAGGTTGAAAAAAGAGAAGGATCAGAAACAATATCAAATAGACAGCTTGGAACAGGTACGTTGATTTTATTTGATCAATTTTGACCTTATTTCTCCAATTGAATTTTCTTGCAGCTTGGCTGATTTTCTTGGCCATGTTCAGACCGCTTGTGTCTCCTGATAAAATAAAAATTACTTGATTGTAATGTTAAATGTGTTTTATTTGTTTTTTTAAAAACTTCTTTGATTGTGTATTGCTTCATTTTATACCACGGCTGATTTTATGACCTGTGTCGAATAAATGTTGTCTCCCTCATTATAATATAATCAAATCATTTAAATACTCAATGTATATTTTAGTTTTATTTTGAGATCTCTTTTTTTATTCAGTTTTAGCCATACTAGTTTCTGAGTGCATACTGTGAATCCATCTCAGCTAGAATTTGGATTCCTGGTTCTGTCTTTCCGTGGGTCTTATTTTAGAAAATTATGATCTTACCAAGCTGCTTCTTTTTTAATGTTATAGTGTAATTTTGTGTTTGTAAGGATAAGGAAGAAGAGGACTTTATTAGTTATCTTATATATATATATATAAATTATTTATATTATATATTATGATTATAAATCCTTGTATATTTGACTCCTTTGGCAAGATCTCATTATGATGGTATCTTTTAAGGCTCTTCAAGTACAGAAAAGAAAAACAAATGATGAGAAGTCTGAAATTGCCGATCTCAAAAGGGAAAACCAGTCCCTGGCGGAAACTTGCCAAGATCTGGAGAAAAAACGACAGAAACTCGCCAATGATCTCTTGATCAAAGAGAACCAAGTGACTTGTTTGGAGCAGAAAGTGAACAAAGTAAGTTGAAGAATGTGAGGAAAACTTTGGACGGAAACATCTGATGAAATATATAATTTTAATGACAGCTGAATATTCTGATGGCCCTGTATTACTGACTTGTTACTGAAATGTGTGTATCATGTGTGATTGTGGTGGAGTGGCCGGGGGGGGGGGGGGGGCACCGATGGCAGGAATTACAAATATATGGGCAGCGTGGTGAAATCAGGGGCTCGTCAAAATAATGAAAGTCAAGAAATTGGCATATTTCCGCAGTTTGGGAATTTTTTTCGAATTTTTGTTTTTTGGTTCAACTCCTTTCATGCCCATTAAAGAGCATATTTCTGTGTGGATTTTACGGAAGAGAAGATTGAGTAAAGGCAGAAGAAATGTAAGTTTACAGTTTCCACGGACTCTCAAGTTAAAGAAATAGCTCAACTTTAGCATCCGTTTCTCGCTAATTTTACCTCTGAAATCAGATGACCCTCACCTCCTTCAATCACACGTATCTCGACTTCTATTCTACATAGATGGATATTATTTTCTCCCAAAACAAGGAAAATGGAACAGGCTTTAAGATGAAACCATCAACTCTGTATGCCCAAAAATTGACGAGAGCCTGATTCCATCTCGTCGTGCCGCATGTTTGTTTGTTTTTTGTTTTTTAAAATGAAGATAGACATACGATAATTCTTGCAATATGAGTTAGGTTAAGACAACAGTCCAAAATTATATTTTATAACATCTTGAAACTAATTCTGAATTTTTTGTCTTGGCTGAAATATTTCAGCTTAATTTCTTTTAATAAAAAGCTCTTGTATGGGAAGATAACAATTTTGATGGAAATAAAATGGAAAGATACAGATGTATTTAAAATATGCAGTGTTGGAAGACAGAAGGGAATATTTTGCTTTGTGTTGACATAACTCCAATCTCATCCACAGCAGCCACCTGTAAAATAACTCCCTTTGATCTTGAGTGACCTTTATGAACTTTACACTTTACATTGTTATTTAAATAATAGCACCTGGGGAAATAGAACAATGTAGCAATTGCTCTAGGGGGGAAAAGGCAATGTGATTCTTTATTTAAGCATGTATGTTTTAAAGTATATTAGTTATTATAGCTCAGATCATTTAATAGTTGATATAGTTCACTTATGCGCTGTTGTACCTGTTTTGCCTCACACTGATTTATTTTGTATTCTTATATCTTCATTGAAAGACCTTTTACCTTTTGATCAGCAGGGAACAGATTTTCAGGTGAGTTCTAAGCCAGGGTCATCGTCTGACCCACAAGCACAACATGTGAAGTCTCTGGAAAGTGAGATTCTCTCTTTGCGACAGCAATTGGAGCAAAAGAAAGACGGACCTCCGTTCCCTCAGAGGAAAGGGTCAGGTTAGTTGAGATAAGACACCCTTGGAGTGCTTTCATTACCCAAGTAGAAGTACGTAGATGTACTGTCGATGGTCGGAGGGCGCCGCTGATGGGTCCTTCTCCTATTCTGTCCTTCTGTTGTTTGTATCTGTCTTTTTTATTTCAAGCACCAAAAGATAGTTTTTGTGTTGATGTGCTTCTGTTTCCTCAAATATGCCCAGCGGGTGGTTGGTGGGTGCTGTGCTCTGGTGTAGTTTGATCCGTCTTTCATATCAAACAACTATTGCCCGTATCCTCCTTTTTTGTGTTTGTTATTCTCTTGTACGCCTCTACTTGTTTCATATAAAAAAAAATTGTACCTATGTTATGTATCTTTTCTTTCTTTTTTTCGCTATTTAGAATTAGACAAAATATTTCTCAAGCACATGGAACTGATACCACAAAATAAAATTTAGAAAGTTAAGTTGTTAATTGTCAGACAGTATGTAGGGGTGAGTGGAAACCGTCTAGATGCCTGCTTGCTATGTAAAGGTTTTGTTTGGAAATGTGAATAATAAAAGGTTTTAAATTTAGGGAAACCTAGTGGTTTACTGTGTTTACAGTTTATTGACTTGACAAGAGGCATTCAGCTGTTATAATATGTTTGATTAAGGACAGTAAAAGAAAGTAACTTGTCAGCTGTGTGGTCTTTGTTTTCTGTTCATTTGTGATGTGTGCTGACAAAATGAGTTATTTCTTGGGATCCACAAATGGAGATATTGGCCAAATATCGTCACTAGGGTCAAATTTGTAGATTTTATATTGATACCATGTTCTTTAAGTACAACATACCTTTTATTATTCCATACTTATAAATTGTAAAAACTCCACCTATAAGTGTGATGTATCTATTTCCATAGGGTTGGAATCTGAGCAGTAACTCATTTTTTCAGCACGCTCCACATTTTGATTTTTGATCTGTAGAAAGACATATTTCCAGCTGGATGCCTTTAGTTGTAAACCCCACAGAGACTGTAACCAGCTTTCTTCCCTTCAAAGAGAGTGAATTGGACCCGTCTTTTTGTTCCTCAGGAGACTCCACAAGGCTTGCTCCAGATGGAGATAACGAACTACGCAAAACCCAGCAAGAGTTGCGGGCCCTACAGTCACTGGTATGAGTACAACATTGAACTGATACACATGAGTCCAGTTTTATAGCAAGCATATTTAGATTGTAGGGTTTTCGTGATTCCTTCTCTCTCTTAATTAATGTACGTCTTTATTGCTTTCCTTTTAATTAATTGTAGTGGAATTTTTACAGAGGAGTTGGCGTAAACTGAACACAAATAATCTGAAGACAACGATAAACCGACAGAAAATAGAAACCTGGATTATTGCGTGTACGATAGGTGAGCAATCTCTCTGAACTGAAAAACATCTGGCAGTCCTGTAACTTTCGATTTATGCAGACTCCACTGTCATTGCATTATTCCTTGATTTGTTACATTTTTACTTCTGTCTTTCTCCTTTACTGGTTGATTTTCTTTCAGAAAGTGTGATAGAGTAGGTAGGGTCCGGGATATTGATTTTTATTGGAATTTATGCGTAAAACTGTCTTTTTACAATATGTTTTTTAATTTTATCCTCTCCTTTGGAAATTTTATTTTAACTGCACTAGAATGTTTGGCGTCTTTTACCTACTTTTTGTGTCTCAGTGAATGCAATATTTTTAAAGATATAACATTGGGAATTTGTATTCTGCAAAAGGTATCGGAGCTGGAAACAAAAAACAAGAAGCTAATCCAGGATGGTGATTGTATGAGGCACAACGCCGAAGCTTCACGGCTACACCTGGAGGCCAGGATGAAAGAAAAAGAGAAAGAGATGAAGCAAGACATCTCTCAAGCTTTGGAAACGGCGAAGAATGCTGACAGGGTTCTGCAGGAGAACAAAGCTAAAATGCAACAAGAGATAAATGCTGTAAGTTTTCTTGTTTTTTGTTTTGTTTTTGTCTTTACAGTTGTTGTTTGTGTCTGTTGATACATTTGTCTGCTACATTTTAAAATTTTAATGTAATCCTCATGTGAGGGTGTTCCTTGCGGGTGGATGACCCCCCCCCCCCCTCTCTCTCTCTTTCTTCTCTCTCTCTCTCTCTCTCTTCAAAGCCGACACTCACAGGAGGAGGACATGCTTAAGTCCAAAAGCCGACACTCACAGGAGGAGGACATGCTTAAGTCCAAACTGGACATGGTGCAGATGGACCTGGAGGACAAAGATGCTACGATCAAAGACTTGACCACTCAGCTGGACAACGCAAAGACTTTGACTGACACACAGACACAGGAACTTGACCTTTTGCGAGAACAGTCGATGACCGCCAGTAACGAGATTTGTGAGCTCAAGTCTTATCTAGAGCATGAGCGGGAGACAGGGAAGGAAAGCGTAGTGCAAGGAGAGGAACTGAAGGGCAAGGTCGCTCATTTGGAAATGTCGCTGGAGGCGGCGCAGACGGAGAAAGAGGAGAAGGAGAGGGAGGTGGAGAGTCTGCGTGAGAGGTTTGAGGAGTTACAGAAGGTACAAGAGGAAACAGAGAACAAGCTGGCTCGATTGTCCGATGATCACGAGCGCGCTACGGGGAAACTGAAAGCGTTGGAAAGTGACGTAGATTGTGAGCGGGAGGCGAGTGGCCGTCACCTGAGCAGCCTGCAGGAAATGAAGGAAGAAGTGGCACAGCTCACCCAGCAACTGGAGGACTCGAGGCTGGCTCTGTCGGAGAAGGCTGGGGAGTGCGAGTCTCTGGAGGCGAAGCTGAGACATGTGGAGGAGAGGGTGAGGCAAGCCGCAGAGGAGAAGGAGGAGTTGGAGAAAGGGTTGAGGGAAGAGCTGGATCAGCTGAAGGCGTCGCTGGAGGAGAAAGATCGAGAGATGGTGGAGAAGGTGAGCTATCTAGAGGAGAACACAGTGCAGGATGCCAAGTCCAAGATCTCGGAGCAGAAGGAAGATCTTTTGTCGAAGAACAGTCTTATCTCGCAGCTGGAGGCTGATCTCAAAGTCTCTCACACAGAGCTGGAGGAGTGTCGTCTGGAAGTCTCCAACCTGTCTGGTGCCATCTCAAAGCTTCAACAGGAGAAGGATGAACTAACACACTCTCTGTCGCTCCTAAAGGACGAGAAGTCCGACCTGGAGAAAGCCTCCCAGAGAAGTCAAGAAGAGTTTCAGACCAAGATGTCCACAGTGAAAGAAGAGCTGGAGGAAAAAGCGGCTGATTTGATGTCTCTGAAGACTCAGTTTGAGAATCTGAGTAGTTCTGTGTTCAAGACAAACTTGAAGAACTCTGAGCTGCTGGCAGAAAAGAAAGCTGTATCGGAGCAGTGCGACGAGATGAAGAAAATCCTGGAAGAATCGAGGAGTGAAATGCAAGAGAGAAATGACACGATCAACGAGTTGAGAGAGGAGTTGGATCACGCTGCGTACCTGAATGACAGCTTGAAGATGTCGCAGCAGGACTGGTACCAGAAGGAGGAAGAGCTGAAGACGGAGATTTGCACCCTCAAGATGAAGCTGAGCGACCTCGAGACGGAGGTAGAGAGCACCCGGGAGTCGTTTGAATCGGTGTCCAACCAGAGATTCGAGGCCCAGAAGAAGATGAGGGTGGCCCTACAGGAGAAAGAGGCAGCGGAAGATGCGATGAAGGGACTGGAGCTAGACCTTTACCAGGCTCGTTCTAGCGGTCAGGATTCTCAGACTTTGGAAGAGGAGCTGCAGGTGCTGAGGCAAAAGGTGACCCAGAGGGATGAGCAGATCGCCGATCTGAAGACAGAAGTGGACGAGAGTCAGCGAGTGCACGCGTTGACGCTGTCAGAGTTGGAGTCTGTGAAGAAGAGGAAAGAGGAGATGGAGGAACGTCTGGAGGAGAGCAACAAGAGGAAAGAGGAGCTGGAGCAGGATCTCAGTGAGTTTTCCTCCGGCACTCGGGAACAGCTGGAGAATGTGGAGAAGGACATTCATACCCTGAACGACGCTCTCAAGGCCAAAAAGAAAGAAATCGTGCAGAGGGTCAACGAACTCCAGGAGAAGGAGGATGTCGTCACTCAGCTGAGGTCCGAGGTGGAGGGAAAAGTACAGAGAGAGGAGGAATTGAGGAGTGAGTTGGACGAGTTGAAGAAAGATGTGAAAGACAAGATGTCCACCATCGGAACCCTGGAAGACGTTATTGAATCTTTGAACTTTGAACTGGAGGCAGCGGAAAAAGAGAAGGAGTCAAAGTGTGACTCTCTGCAGTCAGAGGTTGACCAAATGAAGGTGAAGGTCGCTTCCTTGACTGAGGACCTCAAGGTGGCCAAACAGGAGGGTGGCCGTGACGGCGACTACGATCGACCAGAGCAAGTGGACAAGCTTGAGGCTGAAGTTGCCGAGCTGAAGAGTTCGCTGGAGGTTGTCCACACAGAGAAGCAAGAGTTGGAGGAACAGGCGAAGGAAGTATCCGCGCAAGTGAAGGATCTCGATAAGCAGGTGATTGTTCTGACACAGCAGTTGAAGACCAGCTCTTTGGAGGGTTCGAACCAACGGCTTGAGAGCGTGGAGGCAGAGCTGAGTGATGCCACAAAACTGGCAACGAGGAAGGAAGCTGAAGTCAAGAGGTTGCTGGAGGTAGAGAAATCCCTGTCCAGTAAGGTCTCCGAGCACGGCCACGTCGTGGACTCGCTCAAGGCCGACCTTGAAACAGAGCGGGTCACAGCCGCTCAAGCGAGAGAGAGCGTGGAGAAACTGACGGCTAGACTGGATGAGATGAACTGTCTGAGTGTGGAACTTGATGCTAAAGGCCGGGATCTCGAAGAGGCTTTGTCTGAGAAGAAACGTTTGGAGGATCAGGTGTCCCAGCTGGAAGTGCAAGTTTCCCGACTGGAGGAGACTTTGCAGCAGCACGAGGAGAGAGACTCGCTGTCGGCGGAGATGAACAAAAGTCAGCTGATGAGCACGGAGAAGGAACTGGACAAGCTGAGGGAGGAAAAGACAGGACTCAGCTCCGAACTCTTTACTCTTTCGGCGCAACTCGAATCGGCTCACTCGGAGCAGTCTGAGCTGACAAAAAAGTTAGAAAAGGTGTCGGAGCAGTTAGAACACTCGCAAAACGCCAAGCGCGATCTCACGGACAAGGTGGATGCGATCACGCGAGAGTTGGGACAGACCCAACGGGAGAAATCAGAGCTCGTCGAAAAGCTGGAAACAAACTCAACCCAGTTTTCCGACTTGCAGAAGGAAATGTGTGTCCTTAAGGGCTCCTCTGTGAAAAATACTCTTTATGATGAGAAAGTCGAGGAGCTGCAGACGGCGTTAGCGGAGAAAACAGACATCCAGACGAAGGTCGAGGAGCTAGAACTGATGCTGTCAGAGAAGTCTTCGATGGAAGAAAGCTACAAGGGGCTGAGGGAGAAATTTGAGGAACTGTCCAAGCTGTCGGAACAACACCTGTACCTTAGTGGAGAAAACAAGAGGCTTCAACAGCTTGTGGACGACATGAAATACGGGCACGCCCAGGAGATGAAGGAAGCCTTCCAAACAGCAGACATCTTACAGGTGAGTGGATAAGATAGACAGACTGCAGAAGTCTGACGGATTAGTGGATAGGCAGACTGAAGTCTGATGGGTGAGTGGATAGATAGACAGATAGACTGCAGAAATCTGACAGATTTGTGGATATATAGACTGCAGAAGTCTGACAGAGTAGTGGATAGGCAGACTGCAGAAGTCTGACGGATTAGTGGATAGGCAGACTGCAGAAGTCTGACGGATTAGTGGATAGGCAGACTGCAGAAGTCTGACAGAGTAGTGGATAGGCAGACTGCAAAAGTCTGACGGGTTTGTGGTTTGATGGGCAGGGAAAGTCTTACTGTTCCAGGCTAGCAGACAGACAGACAGCGGAAGTCTTACAACTGAGTGGGTAGAACAACTGTAGTAATTGTCTTCACTCCAGTATTTCATGGTTTATTCAAGAGGCTGATGGGTTAAGATGTAACTACATGTACTTTTCGAATTTATGTGATAAAAAATTGATCTGTAAGTAAGCTGTTTCCATAAAATTTCCCTAAAATGCTACACTTTTCAAGATACTATTTGTATCACTGCGTTTTGACACCATCGAGAAATTGATATGTACTGGAATTGTCTGATAAAGTAGCAACAAGCCATGGGCATAACACATTACAACAGCATTTTGTGCGGGTGACAACATGGATTTTAGCAAAACTTTTACTGGAATGATGATTGGTCGGTACGTTCTTCCCACCTTCCCTCCTTTCCTCTTTCCCTCTCCCTCTCTCTCTCTCTCTCTCTCTCTCTCTCTCTCTCTCTCTCTCCCTCTCTCTCAAGCTAGTTAGAAAGACTATTGAGAAAGATACATATATATAGAGAGATCGAGAAAGAGATTGACAAATGTATATATATAGATCCACACATCTGTTTGCCTCGTTGTGATATGTCAGCCGTATCCACAATGAGAATTTGTTTTCTCTCTCAGAAAAAGCTGGACGTTGTGCAAGAAGAGCTGACACGTGGTAAAACTGCGCAGCCGGACGCCGGGAAAAGTGGAACCGACACCGAGGTATGTTGTCTGATCTCAGGGTGGGAAACACACCTGACTTGGACTCCCAATAAAATCGGAGATCTGCGATTTTATTTTTTTTGCCAATCGAAGATCCTGTCCTGATCGGATGTGCATAAAATTAGATTTTAAAAAAAAATTTGATTTCTATCAAATCATATGGGATCTGTCGTAAATCTATTGTGTTTGTTTGCAAAGTTTGCAAGACTTATGGTAAATGGCTTGAAAATACACATTTTTATTTGTGTTTGGTGAATGACATGAAAATACTCATTTTTATTTGCGTGTACAGTGGGGCTCGCATATCTCAAACATGTCAGGAATTGACAAATGTATTCATCCATCCATTCCATCATTAAAATTTGGTTTAATTAAGATAAAGAGATATCACTATCAGTGGGGGGGAATAACAAATTGTACGAGCTATCAACTTTTCCACGTTTGTGTTATCATGTCCCGACTGTTTTCATGTTGGAAAATACATATCCTTTGTTTTCTAGTTTTGCTCCTCGTGGACTTTGTGAGGCTGAAGAAAAATTATGAATTTTTTTTAGGACAACATTAGCAAACAATAATGGGAATAATTTAATTGGAAAGATCTTTTGCTGCAGATTAACTTTGATCGCTAACAACAACAACAGATTAACTTTGATCGCTAACAACAACAACAGATTAACTTTGAATAGCATGTATCTATTTAATGCAGACGTGTATGGAGGAAGGGTTTGGAGGGGGGGGGGGTTACTTTGCTATTTATAGCAGTACCCACCATCTTGACCCACCCCATGGGTAGAGTCAGTTTTTTTTGGGGGGGGGGGGGT